CTCTTGACCTCGTGATCCACCCACCTCGGCCTCCCAAAGTGCTGGGATTACAGGCTTGAGCCACCGCGCCCGGCCCGAAAGTGAGTTATTTTTTGTTTCTGTAATAGAAAAGAAAGAGGCGATGGGTACTGATGGGAATTGTGTATTTAGCAATGAGAACTTTCTGCCTGGCGACATCTCTTTCTGTTACGTGCTGGGCAAGTCCAGGTACTGGGACTGGGAAGGGAAGGAGGGATTGTGGTACTCAGGAGATGCAGATGGGGTTCTGAAATGGCTTCAGGCACGATGAGCCGGTGTGCTTGCCGGAGAGTGGTAGTAGTCATGGCAATACTTAACACTGGAGTGCTTACATTATACTGCTGAGTGCTTTCTGTGAGCTAGCTCACCTGGCCCACCAAGACTCACTTTGACAGGCACTACAGTGATGAAGAGCACAGACTTTGGGGCCAGAGCGGCCCAGAGTGCTGGTTAAATGCCCGCTCTACCACTTACCAGGGTGTGAACTTGGGTAGGTTAACATTGCAGAGACTGTTTTCTCATCTCTGAAATAGACATAGTAGCGGCACCTGCGTCCTGGGGTCGTTGTGACTGGGTTAACATGTTTGCACAGTGCTCACAACAATGCATGGCACGTAGTAAAAATTTCAAGCATTGATTTAAGAATAGAAGAGAAAAACATTGTGTAAGTAGATCTAAGGTATTAGGAGATGTAGTTATGCTGGGGAAAAAAAGAAAAATCTCTCTGGCTATAATGATTCCGTGGAAGATCCTTTCCAGTCGCGTTAAAGATTAAACAGTTGAACACGAGCCTCCTGAAAAGCCTAATTTTATTCTTTGGAAGTATATTTTGTCAGATGTTTTTTGCTCAGTTGTTTTTATCTTCAGAAAGGCTAAAAGTAGGGACAACTTATTTCCTTAGATTAGCGATTGAAAAACCTAGATTTGGATCCCAGTCGCTTGGTGAGCCCACATGCTTATTTCAACCTCTGTGTAAAGTAACGGGCGGGAAGATGGCCTCAAGGAAAGAGCCAGGGTCTGAGGGCAGTGATCGGAAACCTGAAAGCAGCCATTCACACCCCATGTGCCCCATTCATTCATCTCTGAAATGCCTGTCCATCAACGTCAGGCAAATTGTGAGAAAAGGAAACGGTATGTAGAAGTACTTCCAAAATAAAAGTGTTTTATGTTCACAGCGTTATTATTCGAAATAACCTTTGCTACCAGCTCATCATAAATGCTTGGCAGATTAATGAGGTGATTCGATAGTTGTAGTGTTTTCAGTTGCTCTGGAAGACGTGTGCAACACAAATGCCAGGTGTTTCTGTTCTGTGAGAACCGAAGTCACAGAGGTTCTGAGTACATTCGTAGTACATCATGCCGAGTATTATAGAAAAACCAAAGAACTTTGAAACAGGGTTCTCGTCTTCTAAGAAGGTAGTCTTCACAGGGAGATAAAATATACAGCTAGGATTATTCAATACGACGTGCGATGGAGTGCTAGAATACATAATGCAGACAGAAAGTTCCAGAAGAAGTTACAGAGGGGGGCTATACAGGTGGCAGCTGCTTTTCTTTTCCCGAGGTAAATGTTTTCTGATGGCTTTGTCCATGTAAGATTCATTTCCTACTTCTATCTTCTCAGTGATTTCTAATATTCAGTGAGAGGTTACAAAAGGCTTTGTGATTATATATGTCCGACTTGACAACCACAATCCATTTCTTAGTCTAAACAAACAAACAAACAAAAGCTGGAAGATGGTGGGGGATAAAAATACAAGCTTCAATCCAATCAAGACCCACATGTTTTTTAACATGCTCTCTCCTCAGGTCAACGTAGAAACATTCATAATGTTTTCTTCTAGTTCTGTTTCCTGACTTTTTTTATTTAAAGAGGAAAAAATTTAATTGGGTGTACTCAGAACTTCCATAAATTTCTTTCAGCGTCTCAGGTAACATTGCTGGGATTACTGCGGATTTTTCAATAAGGGACTAGACGTTTAACGCTTGACGGTGATCAGAGTGCCACGACCTAGATGATAACGGATCCTCCCAATTTTAGCCCAGCTTACCCATTCCCTCAAAGGACACAGAAGCTGCAACATCTGAGCTGTTTCTAACTCCCTTTGGTTCTGCAGCCACTAGCTGTACCCCTAATACCTTCCTCCTTCATTCTTACACTTTGCCAGGAAGATACTAGAAGCCGCAAGGGAGTTGGCAAGGGGATAGTGGTTACAAGAAAACCATAATGGAATTGCTCTGGGAGGGAGCAGAGACTTAAAATTATGTCTCGGTTTTACCTGAATTCACCTAGGCTTTCCTAAATAAAGGACTTTCTCATTTGTTCTCTAGCTAGGTTTGGGAATATATTCTTGACCTTTATGCTTCAAATTAGCCTTGCAAATTGGCTCAAAACATATCAGCGTTCAAAGATGTTCTTTTACTTTCAGAATTATGGATCATTCCCATGCTTATCCATGCCTGCAGTCCCTGTCGCTAGGCAGGGAGAACACGAGATACATACTTGGCATAATTTAATAGAAAGATCATGGAAATCAGGGCAGAACTGATTGTATTTGGTGTTGGCTTAATATTTGATTTCAGAAGTACCTCCTCTAATGTTCCCACACCCCCAAGGCCCTGAGAGTACTGTAAACACAGATTAATTTGCATCATGGTTTGAAACTGGGGGGTTGTGACATTTCAGTGCCCTTGTTTGCCATCAGAGCTGAAACACCAGATAGTCACTGTGGGTCTGCAGTACCTAGGGGTTTCAAAGCATTGTTTTTTTTTTTGAGACGGAGTTTCGCTCTTGTTAACCCAGGCTGGAGTACAATGGCGCGGTCTCGGCTCACCGCAACCTCCGCCTCCTGGGTTCGGGCAATTCTCCTGCCTCAGCCTCCTGAGTAGCTGGGATTACAGGCACGCGCCACCACGCCCAGCTAATGTTTTGTATTTTTAGTAGAGACGGGGTTTCACCACATTGACCAGGATGGTCTCGATCTCTTGACCTCGTGATCCACCCGCCTCGGCCTCCCAAAGTGCTGGGATTACAGGCTTGAGCCACCGCGCCCGGCCAAAGCATTGTTTTGAAAAAAGAAAGACCCAAGTTTTTGAGGGTTTTGTATTCAAAAGTACAGAAGTGTAAGGGAGTGTACATAGCTAAAGAGAACACTGCCTTTCTCACCTGCTCACCCTTGCCTGGTCGGTGCTGCTTGGGTGGGAGGCGGGCATGCTTGGCAGGAAGTCCTGGTCACCCTTCAGCTGCTGTGGCCCCTGAGCCTTTGTCCACAGTGGGAGCATCACCCTCTCCTTTCACCCTGATGGAATGGAGGCATGGTCTAGCTGCTTCGCAGAGTGGACTGGTGCTTCACCTTGATCCTGTTCTAAGGATCTTTTCTGTCTCTGTTTTTGCTCCCAACTTCTTTTGGGCGGCCTGTTCCTGTAGCATGCCCTGGAGATGCGAGATTTTCCTTTGGCAGCAGGAGGCACGCCCCCGGAGAATGCTGGAGCTGCAAGGGGAAAGGGCCCACATCCACAGCAGAGAAAAACAAAGAGGAAAAAGACATACAGGCAGCCAGCGCTAAGGGACGCACCCAGCGAGCAGTGGGGCCAGCGCCGCTGCCCCTAGCAGCCGTTTCTGCTGCAGCCCGAGAGGAACTCGGTGAGCCTGTCCCGTCTGTGACTGCCAGCTCAGGATTTCAATCAATGCATTCCAGTAACCCTAAAGTGAGGAACTCTCCATCAGGAAACACACAGAGGTAAGGGATAGGGCCTCTTCCCGCAGCCCCTTGGGGATGCCGCAGGCACACCGTGAACACTCCCTGGTGAAACAGCCTGTTGAATTAGAAGCGAATGAAAACCCAAAGACGAAAGGGAGAGAAAATAGACTAGTAAATAGGAACGGAAGAGTAAGCAGGATACGGTGTAAGCCAAGCCCACAGAAGCGTTTGCCCCTGTTCCTCTTCTGTCCATCATTCCCTGACCTCTCCGCCCACTTCCCTGCCGAAGCGCAAACAAAAGGGCCGTGGAGAGACCAGCCAGTCCAATCTGCCCAGGTTGGCACGCGAGGAAACTGAGGCCCGGAATGGTGAAGGAGGCCTCACGTCTCAGAACTAAAACATTCCCAGGACTCCCGGCTGTGAGGCTTTTTCGTCTGTTTCACAGAACGCAAACTGTGACTTTAAAAGAATTTGATCCTCCCTCCCGGGGCAGCAGCGGTGGGTTTCCCAGCTTGGGTGTAATGCCGCTTGTTGGGAGGGATTAGCGTCCTGGAGGATTTCCCTAACCTGACGGTCCCCGGCTCCCGTGCTCTTCGGGACCTGCTTATATTTTCCGGCAGGGAAGTGAGGCTCTCCTACAGCTGTTCCTTGTCGTCAGCCCGGGGGTGGGTGGTATTTTGATCTTAACGATGCCTGTTTGTTTACTCTGAGCTAGTCTTAGTGTAAGAGTCACTTCTCTATGTACATAGAAACCGTTGTCCTTTATTGACAGAAGCCCTGGAGTTGGGTCCCCATGTGACTCTAGGGTTCCCGAGACCTGGCAGGCCGCTCTGCTGGATCCTCCTTTCTGTTGATAGCTCTGAGAGGGGAGCAGGGGTGGAGGGAGCAAGCAAGTGGCCGAGGCGAATCCTGGGGTGGTATTTTAGTCCTAAGGGTCTCCTTGACCCCCAGTAGAAACCGCCTCTCCCTGATTGGTGCTGACCAGCTGTATCTGGTGTCTGATCTTCCTCTGTTATTCGTTTCTTTTAGTAGCCCTAAGTCAAAGCAGGAGGTGATGGTCCGTCCCCCTACAGTGATGTCCCCATCTGGAAACCCCCAGCTGGATTCCAAATTCTCCAATCAGGGTAAACAGGGGGGCTCAGCCAGCCAATCCCAGCCATCCCCCTGTGACTCCAAGAGTGGGGGCCACACCCCTAAAGCACTCCCTGGCCCAGGTGGGAGCATGGGGCTGAAGAATGGGGCTGGAAATGGTGCCAAGGGCAAGGGGAAAAGGGAGCGAAGTATTTCCGCCGACTCCTTTGATCAGAGAGATCCTGGGACTCCAAACGATGACTCTGACATTAAAGGTATGTCTATAAGATCTTTGAGACTCAGAGGGAAGGAGGTATCCCTGAGGGAAGATCTCTGACATTTGACAGAGGCCAGAGAGCCTAATACCAGACAAACGGGGAGAGTAGGTGTCCAATGCAGGCGTTCTCGCCACTGACGATGGAACTACTTCTTCTCGTTTTGCTAACTGAAGAATAGCGTGGAACCTCCTGCTTGAGGCGTTCTTGCCCTCAAGGATGCAGTGGTTTAGGGGTGATGGCAGGATTATTTCCCAGGCCTCACCCTGTTCTTTTGCATGTTCTGACCTCCATGCTGTTTGTACTTCAGTTCCAAGCCAGTTGCTCTAGTTCGTCTGTGCCGGTGGCCCCCGCTGGGGTAGTTTTTCTGGTGTCCCGTTCTCTTCTCCATCAGAGTAATCCTCCCAGGCTTGGGTCTTGTGTGCTCTGGTTGCCGTTTTGCCAGACTTGCAGACACAAGAGGAAGCCTGGATAGCCCTGGCAGTGGTGCAGAGTCGTCACTGCTGATTTTAGTGTAGCAGGAATGAGTGGCTACCAGATGTGTAGAGATTTGGCAGACACCAAAATGGAGTGAGCCAGGGGAGGGTATGGGACCAACAGCTGGGGTTTTAGGCTTTTTTCCTCCTAGTGGAAGACCAAAAGTCTTCACCAGAGGCCAGAACGTGAAGTTAGTATTCAAGGAATACAAGTATGACTTTCCAACGCAAATTAGAAATGAAAACCTGGGTGACTGTCCCCCCCCACTTCCTCCCCTCTTCCCTCAAGGATTTGTGGCAGGCCTGCAGTGAATGCTAGCACTGTGCTGGGGTGGGGCATAGTCAGTGAGATCGATACAGCTGTTGACCTCAAAGATTTGAATGCACCTAAAAAGCTGATCGTTAAACAGTGACAGTAAAATATGATGAATGCTGAACGAAGTGAAGTTGCAAGGGCTGTGAGATCCACCATCATCTGTGGATCCATCCCCAGTTCAGTCTAGGAGGTTTCAAGAAAGTTACCAGGAAGTAGGGCCATGTATGCTAACATGTGAAGGAGGTGTAATAGAGAGGTAAGGACGTGGAGGAGGAGTGCTTTATGAGTAGTCATTTCAGAGAGAAGAGCGTTTGAAATTTTATGAGTCGAAGAGGTTTCTTCTTAGCAAGGTGGTCCTTCCTTGAAATTCTCAAGGTGGGTTTGTGTTGTGATGCTATAAATGCTGGCAGAAGAAAGGAAATTGTATTCTTTCTATGACGAGTCTTTTTATTCTTTTAGAATGTAATTCTGCTGACCACATAAAGTCCCAGGATTCCCAGCACACACCACACTCGATGACCCCATCAAATGCTACAGCCCCCACGTCTTCCACACCCTCCCATGGCCAAACTACTGCCCCAGAGCCCACACCTGCTCAGAAGACTCCAGCCAAAGTAGTGTATGTGTTTTCTACTGAGATGGCCAATAAGTAAGTTGACGCTTGTGTCTCGCTGTTGGGCAGGGCTTGTCTGGGGACTTAAACAATAAGTTCTTATTGTCACTGCAGCTTGATAACTTGTTATCACCTGAAGTTAACAGGACAGAAAGAGATAAAACATAAAACCTCCCCAACACAAACTCCCCTGGAGGCAACCACTGATAAGACATCCTTTGCTTCCCTTTCAGAAATTTTTTGTGCTTATGCAACTATTATACATACAGACCTCATTTTTTTGGAGATGGTATCTCTCTTACCCAGACTGGAGTGCGGTGGCAGACCTCGGCTCACTGCAGCCTCCACCTCATGGGTTCAAGTGATTCTTCTGCCTCAGCCTCCTGAGTAGCTGGGATTACAGGCACCTGTCACCACGCCCAGCTGATGTTTTGGGTTTTTTAGTGGAGACGGCACTTCACCATGTTGGCCAGGCTGGTCTCAAACGCCTGGCCTCAAATGATCTGCTTGCCTAGGCCCCCCAAAGTGCTGGGATTACAGACATGAGCCACCACACCCAGCCGTATATACCTTTTTTAAACACAGAAGAAACTGATTGCACGATACACACTCTTCTGCAACCTACTTACTATTAGTTTCTAAACACAAGTAATATATGTCCGTTCTAGAATAATTAGAAAATACAGCTAAAAATTAATATCTCTGGAATTCACAAAGCTGACCACTGTCAACATTTTCATATATAACTTTCTAGTGGATGGACGAAGCAATTGGTTTTTATTTGTCAAAATTGTGATTTTGCCCTGCACCTGTTTTCTGACCTGTTTTACTTAAGATAAAAAGTGAATGTTGATGGCCTTCAACGATCACTAGGTGTCGTGTGATTTCATCTGCCCCTTCTTGGGTTGAGATTTTGAACTCAGACTCTGTATAAAACACCGACCATCGTGGATTGGTTTAACAAGAAAATCTTGGTTTTTGTTTTTTAATGTCTCTATTGGGATTTGTTAATGGCTATCTTTTAATTTTAGAAGTTTGATGGTAAATGGCAAACATACATAATGAAACATGTTTCTCTTCGTTGCTTCTTCAGCATTTCTGGTGGTGATTTATACTCCTTCCTCTTCCTTACGGGTTCAGTGTGGGGTTAAAGTGCTTTGGAATGACAGTTAGTGAAACAGAAGTGAGTTCTAGTGTGTGCCGTCTCTTCTGTCTTTGCAGAGCTGCAGAAGCTGTGTTGAAGGGCCAGGTTGAAACTATCGTCTCTTTCCACATCCAGAACATTTCTAACAGCAAGACAGAGAGAAGCACAGCCCCTCTGGTATTTCATTTCAGAAACTGAATAATGCTTTAATGATTCTCCAGTGACTGCAAAGGAGAGGAGGTGGTGAATTTAATTGATAGGAAGGTAGTCTTGATGGTATGAGCTACGTTCTTGGCATTTAACCCAATTCTGGCATCGTGGGGTGTTAGGCATATCGCACTATACTAGCCCTTTCTACGAGAAAGCTGAATTACTAGGGGGAGGAGCTGTACAGATGTCTTAGGTTTTCCTTCATGTGACCGTCTCGGGGAAGATCTAAATTCAGACCCTGTGTACAGAGCAGGGTTTGTTGTTGTTGTTTGTTGTTTTTTTTTTTTTTTTTTTTTTTTTTGAGACGGAGTTTCGCTCTTGTTACCCAGGCTGGAGTGCAATGGCGCGATCTCGGTTCACCGCAACCTCTGTCTCCTGAGTTCAAGCAATTCTCCTGCCTCAGCCTCCTGAGTAGCTGGGATTACAGGCACGCGCCACCACGCCCAGCTAACTTTTTGTATTTTGAGTAGAGACGGGGTTTCACCATGTTGACCAGGATGGTCTCGATCTCTCGACCTCGTGATCCACCCGCCTCGGCCTCCCAAAGTGCTGGGATTACAGGCTTGAGCCACCGCGCCCGGCCCTGTTGTTTGTTTTTAAATAACACCCTTGAGCTAGTTGAATTACGAAGAAAGATCAGAGAAAAAAACAACAACTAAAACTTCCGGAGCACACAATGATTATCATAATCAGGGCCTCAGCGACTTTCAAAAATGATTCCTATTTATTTCAAAGTGATAAGACCATTGAACGCTTTTAATTGCTCGATACTTGGAAAACTGTAATGAATGTTAGACTGTGTTCTATCTGGATCTTAAGCACCTGCTCTAAACTCTTATCAGGAAAAGCATACAGTAGATGTTTTAATGCATGTAGTTTACGAAATTGATCCAAAAGGTATTTCTTCTGTCTAGCAATTGTAGAGCCATTGCACCAGATGCTATGGGGTGGTGGTGGGGTCGGGGGGTGCTAAAAGGTTCAAGACACAGTCCCTGCTTTCAGGGAACATAAATCTAATACTGGGATCCGTCTTAAACATGGGAAAAGTTAATTGACAATAAATTATCAAAGTGACAATTCGAGATCAAATAGGTGACATCTTTCCTATTTTGTTTATCAGAAAAGTCTCCATCTTTGTAGACGTAAGTAAGAGCTTAGGCCTTTCTAAACTTAGAAAAGGAATTGACATTGCCCATACGTCTTGACGACCCAAGGGTAGAAGATACATACAATTCTATTTAAAATGCTCAGCCGGGCGCGGTGGCTCACGCCTGTCATCCCAGCACTTTGGGAGGCCGAGGCGGGTGGATCACGAGGTCAAGAGATCGAGACCATCCTGGTCAACATGGTGAAACCCCGTCTCTACTAAAAATACTAGAAATTAGCTGGGCATGGTGGCGTGTGCCTGTAATCCCAGCTACTCAGGAGGCTGAGTCAGGAGAATTGCCTGAACCCAGGAGGCGGAGGTTGCGGTGAGCCGAGATCGCGCCATTGCACTCCAGCCTGGGTAACAAGAGCGAAACTCCGTCTCAAAAAAAAAAAAAAAAAAAAAATGCTCATTATCCTGGAACAGTGCCACTGAAACCAACCTTTTATTGACTTAATGGTAGTTCTTACTACGGTTATCACCTATACCTTCTCTGGAACTAAAATGAAATCAGGAAGGGAGTGAAGAAAGGAGTCAGGAATAATCCATTGTCCCACATCTAAATGTTTTCTGCTGTCATGGTTTCCTTATATGAAATCAGTACCCACCTGCAGCAAACAAAACCTGACCAACAAACCCAAACTTAAAATGGCACTGGAAGGAAAATCAAGGTGACCTCTACACTCCAGTTCGGAGTTGTGGACATGAAATAACACTTTTGACTGTGCAGAGTCATACAGGGTTCAGCCAGTTTTACCCACACAACTCGATACCTAGAGACAGAAGTGCCTGGATTCACACATTTATATATGTATTCCCAGAATGTAAGTACGCAAATATATGTTTTCATGTATATGCAATACAAATTGTTCATATGCAGAGATACACATAATTGCTTATTTACATATTTGCATACAGGTAAACATTCCAGAGAGTAGGTGAGGCGGTAAATAAGAGCCTTAAGGGTTTGGAAGTGCGGACTGGATTAAGTGAACAGGAAGGAGCAGATGAACACCAAAAAAAAAGGTCTGGAGAAAGGTCTGTGGGGAAAGGTCTCTGAGACAGAGTTTGTAGACCAAGCCCTCTGTTCTTCAGTGCCCTCTTACATCTTAGCAGTGCGACTGGTGTAGACGCGGAACGTAGGCAGCCTTCTCCCAAACATTCAGGGTGTGCATGTCACCTATTGCAGGTGTCTGCGCTTCAGCCTGGATTTAGTATAGCATTGGAGGCAATCTTCCAGCGAGTTAAAAAAAGGACAGTCTGCTGTCTATTGCAAAGAGCAGATCAAGAGACACCAGGAGTTAGATAGCCTCAGATTTCTCCCCAGAAGCTTCCTGCCTGCAGATTTTCTCACTACAGTGAATATACAAATTCTTATCAAACACGCAGTCAGTGATCACGAACCCAAAACAGAAACCGGAGATGTCAGGCCCCCTGGAAACTCCAGGAGGGGAGCGCCTCAGTAGTCACCCTGCCAGAGGAGACGCCGCCACGAGGCGCCGCCTTCCTGCTTCCCTGACTGGTGGATTACGGAGCTGCAAGTGACTTACGCTTTCTCTTTCACATGCCAGCGTCAGACCTTTTGATTGACAATGAGAAGTCTACATACCCGGTCGTACTTTCAGGGAAAAGAAAAAGGTGTTAGGTACAGCCTCCCACATACCGAGAGACGAATCTCTCTCTGAATCAGAAACACATAGTAGACATGTGATATCAAACCTGCTCCTCAAAATAGATCCTCAAATGTATTCCCTTTGGCAGAGTGGCTCTCCTCTGGCATACTTTTTAAGTTACTGCAACCTAATCTTCAGCAAGGGAAAGAGGATGCCATTTGACAGTAAGCTTAAAAAAAAAAAAAAAATCAAAATGTCTTCATGTCCAAAAGGGGGTTGTACATGAGCAGTTTCTACGGCTAGTGCCAGTGCAGATCTGTGTGACTGCGGACAGGTCCTTCATTGCATATCTTGCTCTTTTAATTGCCCTTCTGTTCAGTTTACCAATGATTTTTAAAATCTTTGTTTATCTTCAGAACACACAGATATCCGCCCTTCGGAACGATCCGAAACCTCTCCCGCAACAGCCCCCAGTTCCAGCCAACCAGGACCAGAATTCTTCCCAGAATGCCAGAGTGCAGCCAACACCACCCGTTCCGGCACCAGCACCCAAGCCTGCTGCACCCCTGCGTCCCCTGGACCGGGAGAGTCCTGGGGTAGAAAACAAACTGATTCCTTCCGTAGGAAGTCCTGCCAGCTCCACTCCACTGCCCCCAGATGGTACCGGGCCCAACTCAACGCCCAACAATCGGGCAGTGACCCCTGTCTCCCAGGGGAGCAATAGCTCTTCAGCAGATCCCAAAGCCCCTCCGCCTCCACCAGTGTCCAGTGGCGAGCCCCCGACCCTGGGAGAGAATCCCGACGGCCTGTCTCAGGAGCAGCTGGAGCACCGAGAGCGTTCCTTACAAACTCTCCGAGATATCCAGCGCATGCTTTTTCCTGATGAGAAAGAATTCGCAGGAGCACAAAGTGGGGGACCCCAGCAGAATCCCGGGGTATTAGATGGGCCTCAGAAAAAACCAGAAGGGCCGATACAGGCCATGATGGCTCAATCCCAAAGCCTAGGTAAGGGCCCTGGGCCCCGGACAGATGTGGGAGCTCCGTTTGGCCCTCAAGGACATAGAGATGTGCCCTTTTCTCCCGATGAAATGGTTCCACCTTCTATGAACTCCCAGTCTGGGACCATAGGACCCGACCACCTCGACCATATGACTCCCGAGCAGATCGCGTGGCTAAAACTGCAGCAGGAGTTTTACGAAGAGAAGAGGAGGAAGCAGGAACAAGTGGTTGTCCAGCAGTGTTCCCTCCAGGACATGATGGTCCATCAGCATGGGCCTCGGGGAGGGGTCCGAGGGCCGCCCCCTCCTTACCAGATGACCCCTAGTGAAGGCTGGGCACCCGGGGGTGCAGAGCCCTTTTCTGATGGTATCAACATGCCACATTCTCTGCCCCCGAGGGGCATGGCTCCCCACCCCAACATGCCAGGGGGCCAGCTGCGCCTCCCTGGATTTGCAGGCATGATCAACTCTGAAATGGAAGGGCCGAATGTCCCCAACCCTGCGGCTAGACCGGGTCTCTCTGGAGTCAGCTGGCCAGATGATGTGCCCAAAATCCCAGACGGTCGAAGTTTTCCTCCTGGCCAGGGCGTCTTCAGTGGTCCTGGCCGAGGGGAACGCTTCCCAAACCCCCAAGGATTGTCTGAAGAGATGTTTCAGCAGCAGCTGGCAGAGAAACAGCTGGGTCTCCCCCCAGGGATGACCATGGAAGGCATCAGGCCCAGCGTGGAGATGAACAGGATGATCCCAGGCTCCCAGCGCCACATGGAGCCTGGGAATAACCTCATTTTCCCTCGAATACCCGTTGAGGGCCCTCTGAGTCCTTCTAGGGGAGACTTTCCGAAAGGGATGCCCCCGCAGATGGGCCCTGGTCGGGAACTTGAGTTCGGGATGGTTCCTAGTGGGATGAAGGGAGATGGCAGTCTAACTGTCAACATGGGATCCAGCTCTCAGATGATACCTCAGAAGATGAGAGAGGCCGGGGCGGGCCCTGAGGAGATGCTGAAATTACGCCCGGGTAGCTCAGACATGCTGCCTGCTCAGCAGAAGATGGTGCCGCTGCCATTCGGTGAGCACCCGCAGCAGGAGTATGGCATGGGCCCCAGACCATTCCTCCCCATGTCTCAGGGTCCAGGCAGCAACAGTGGCTTGCGGAATCTCAGAGAACCAATTGGGCCCGACCAAAGGACTAACAGCCGGCTCAGTCACATGCCACCACTACCTCTCAACCCCCCCAGTAACCCCGCCAGCCTCAACACGGCGCCTTCAGTGCAGCGCGGCCTGGGGCGGAAGCCCTTGGATATATCTGTGGCAGGCAGCCAGGTGCACTCCCCAGGCATGAACCCTCTGAAGTCTCCCACGATGCACCAAGTCCAGTCACCGATGCTGGGCTCGCCCTCGGGGAACCTCAAGTCCCCCCAGACTCCGTCGCAGCTGGCAGGCATGCTGGCGGGCCCAGCTGCCGCTGCTTCCATTAAGTCCCCCCCGGTTTTGGGGTCTGCTGCTGCTTCACCTGTCCACCTCAAGTCTCCATCACTTCCTGCCCCATCACCTGGATGGACCTCTTCTCCAAAACCTCCCCTTCCAAGTCCTGGGATCCCTCCAAACCATAAAGCACCCCTCACCATGGCCTCCCCCGCCATGCTGGGGAACGTAGAGTCAGGTCAGTATGCTTGCATTCTCACGGTTGCAGCTCGTAGCTGGAGACCGCTGGAGCCCGATGCGGTTACTTTAAGGAAACCTGGGGTTTGGGGTACCTAGCCGGAGGAGGCAGCCTTTGTTGAAATGGACGTTATCTGTGGCAAGGTGCATGATTAGGGCTTCCACGGGGTTATGCAGAAGTGTCCAATCTCAGCAGAAAATACGGATGTCAGATGGGATCGTTAAGAGAGGGGAAATGCGGAATATGTGTTGGGTTCAACCCAGAATAATTTACATTTGCACAGTGAGCACATGCAATAAAATGTCTTAACAGTGGATGAATGTGGCTTCTTTAAATACTGGACCCAGTGCAAGGGGCTTCCCTTGGATCGAGAGATTCTGGGTATAATCCTAAACAGAGAGAGGAAGCCGCTCTAAGACTCGGCGTGGTTCTCGTAAATATCCGTTGACCACAACAATCGTGACCACAATCTTCTCCTTGGTAGAACACTGTTTCTACAGAGCAGCTACCATTTAGGAGTATTTTCTTCCTGGGAGAGATTCTTGCTGATGATGATGGTTTTGTGAATGGGACGAGAGGTGGTCAGTGGTAGCGCCGAGATGTAAATACTAGGTCGGTGCTGTCTCCACCTGAGAAAGCCTAGGATCAGAGCAAGAGAGATTTAGCCTACCAAGCTAAAGCGTCTCTCTGTGGGGTAGCAGTTCGCTGAAGCAGTCCAGCGAAAAAGCCCCCTTGGACCTTTTTGGTTCAAACGTCTCGGTTGTGGACATTAAGAATATGTGTAGCGCGATGTCATTAGTACCTGGGGTTAGATCACTAGTCTGGCTTCGTGACACACTTAACACCTCAGTCGCTTTCTAAATGGTGATTGGCAAGAGATCCACTTATTGCACATTTTGCTCCGTGAAACGGTCGTCTGTACGCCGTCTTTTCCCCCAAGCTTGAACTTGTATTTCTAACGCGTTCCTGGTGTGTGTGTGCCTTCACATCTGCGGGTCTGTCGCCCCGTATCACGCCGCGGTCTCCCTCTGCACTCACACGGAGCTTGACTAGAAGATGGATGATTCGTGTCTGGGGTCTAATAACACTGTCCTGCTCATCTGTCTCATGCCTGGCCTTGCTAGTTCATCATCGGAGGGCCCGGTAGCCTTCGAAAGGAATCTAATGCCCTGCCCATTTTATTTTGCTTCCTTTCAGGTGGCCCCCCGCCTCCTGCAGCCAGCCAGCCTGCCTCTGTGACTATCCCTGGAAATCTTCCCTCTAGTACACCCTACACCATGCCTCCAGAGCCCACCCTGTCCCAGAACCCACTCTCTATCATGATGTCTCGAATGTCCAAGTTTGCAATGCCCAGTTCCACCCCGTTATACCATGATGCCATCAAGACTGTGGCCAGCTCAGATGACGACTCCCCTCCAGCTCGTTCTCCCAACTTGCCATCAATGAATAATATGCCAGGTAAGAAATCAGCAAGGCAGGCTGTGGAGTGAGTGCTAGACCCGAGAGAAACCTCTGGAAGCATTTTCTCAGTGGCTGTCCACCCGAAGTTCAACGGGTAGAAACAATGTTCCGTCTAAAGTGGTCTCGGCGGAATGGAAGTGTCTTGACTAGAGGAAGATAATTTTTCATTAGCTTGATTCCTTATTTGTCTGTAAGAAAGCAGGTTTCTTTATAGTTCTGATGCGTCTGTGTATCTGGATGGTTTTGAGGGCGGGTTGTTTTTGTTTGCTTTTTTCTCCTTTGGTCCTCCTGTAGCAATATTGAGAGCGGTTGCTTTTTAACAGGCTGATTGGAATGTCTTTAGTTCTCAAGTCTTTTTCCTGGAAGAGTAGCCTCAAACCACAAGCAGGCACAGGATTTCAGACAGCGGAAAGCCCCCGTTGCCTAGAGCAGCCTTTTTTTTTTTTTGAGGACTCGGGAGATGATAAAATCCTTCCCTTCCCTATGCATTCCGTTCACCTTTCATTCCTATACTCACCCCTCCCCTCGACCCCTGCCACCTGACTAAGGAACGTGCTCAGGATGGTGACAGTGATCAGCAGAGACCGTGACTTTTCAGCCATGAGTTTCTGATTCCAGTTCTATTCTGATTGTTACAAATACTATTGATTTATCAGGAACTCTAGTTGACCCCGTTAGTACAGGTTCCAGGGACAGCATAAGCCCTATACCACACTCAGTGGTAATTCCGCAGGGACCAAGTACTTCGATGTCCCAGAGACTGTACAGAATGTGTTACCTTCCGTTTCTATTAAAAGTTATTTCTTGAACATTTTATGTAATCTCGAGTTTTAAATGCTTTCTCTTTAAGGCACCGTAAAATCATGCCAAATGCCAATTGAAAAATGACCGGCTTAGTTTCTCTGTTACGATTTCCGATCATTAGAATTGTAGAACTGATTAATCCTCTGTCTCCAAAAGGATGTACTTAAGTCATTCAGGCAAATTGTTTTCTCCTGTGTTAAATGTCTCCAGTGAGGAAGATGAAACTCATTTGTGTGCTAATTTATAACTTTTCACACATGAGAATTTCTCCCTCGCTGTCCGCTACACACTCCTAAATCACAGTTTAAGACGCAATAATGTATGTCTTGTAGAGCTCTTGGTTTGTATGTCCCCAGATGTATTATGATCTTCCTCACGGCAGGGATCGTGTGTGGTATGTTTCCCCAGCATTGTACTATGCACATTGGATTCACAATGGTTTTTTTTTTTTTTTTTTTTTTTTTTTTGGTTAATCTATTACAGTTTTTCTGAGTTGATTTTTGGTTAAGTTGATTCCTTTGGTATCTTTATTTTTCTAGGAATGGGCATTAATACACAGAATCCTCGAATTTCAGGTCCAAACCCCGTGGTTCCGATGCCAACCCTCAGCCCAATGGGAATGACCCAGCCACTTTCTCACTCCAATCAGATGCCCTCTCCAAATGCCATGGGACCCAACATACCTCCTCATGGGGTCCCAATGGGGCCTGGCTTGATGTCACACAATCCTATCATGGGGCATGGGTCCCAGGAGCCACCGATGGTACCTCAAGGACGGATGGGCTTCCCCCAGGGCTTCCCTCCAGTACAGTCTCCCCCACAGCAGGTTCCGTTCCCTCACAATGGCCCCAGTGGGGGTCAGGGCAGCTTTCCAGGAGGGATGGGTTTCCCAGGAGAAGGCCCCCTTGGCCGCCCCAGCAACCTGCCCCAAAGTTCAGCAGATGCAGCACTTTGCAAGCCTGGAGGCCCCGGGGGTCCTGACTCCTTCACTGTCCTGGGGAACAGCATGCCTTCAGTGTTCACAGACCCAGAGCTGCAGGAGGTCATCCGACCTGGAGCCACCGGGATACCCGAGTTCGATCTCTCCCGCATTATTCCATCCGAGAAGCCCAGCCAGACGCTGCAGTATTTCCCTCGAGGGGAAGTCCCAGGCCGTAAACAGCCCCAGGGTCCTGGAGCTGGGTTTTCACACATGCAGGGGATGATGGGCGACCAAGCCCCCAGAATGGGACTAGTACTACCTGGCATGGGAGGTCCAGGGCCAGTGGGCACTCCGGACATCCCTCTTGGTACGGCTCCATCCATGCCAGGCCACAACCCCATGAGACCACCAGCCTTTCTCCAGCAAGGCATGATGGGACCTCACCATCGGATGATGTCACCAGCACAATCGACAATGCCCGGCCAGCCCACCCTGATGAGCAATCCAGCCGCTGCCGTGGGCATGATTCCTGGCAAGGATCGGGGGCCTGCTGGGCTCTACACCCACCCTGGGCCTGTGGGCTCTCCGGGGATGATGATGTCCATGCAAGGCATGATGGGACCCCAACAGAACATCATGATCCCCGCACAGATGAGGCCCCGGGGCATGGCTGCTGACGTGGGCATGGGTGGATTTGGCCAAGGACCTGGCAACCCAGGAAACATGATGTTTTAAGCTGCTAAGATTGGATGTGCCGATCCTTGTCAAGATGAGATTCCGGGTCCTGAGAGCTGCTTTGAGGGCGTTCCAGGAGAACTTAGCTGTTGCTCATGCCGTAGGAGAACAGAGACCCAAGGGCTGCTGTGGGGGAGGGGGGAACTCGAGAATGTATGGATTTACCTGAAAACAAATTATTCATTTAATCAACAGGTGTGGTTTTTTTAAGATTTATTTTTTAAAAATTATTTTTGTGGACTTGGGTATCCCATGATGGCACCTACTTTTGCGAATCTGTAGCCGCGCTTTGAGAATTGCCATCGGTCATGTGTTGCACCGTTCCCCGTGCGTTTACGTCCTTTGGACTGGCTTCTCCCAGGATTCTTTTCTGGTTTTGTTTGGGTCTTTTTTTGTTTTTGATGTGGGCTTTATTTTTGTGTGTACTGTACTATATTGTAAAAGGGATTTTAGCAGAGACTTTAGTCTTTGGGGCCACAGGAGAACAGGCATGCTGGGCTGTTTACTTGAGGTGGAGAATCCATCTTCAGACCTTTGGACTGTTTTCTTTCCACGCCAGTGTACAGACAAACCAAACTATGACCTCAGAGCAGAGTATTAATGAAAAGCACAAAAAAAAAAAAAAAGGAACTAAGTTCAGCGAGGGGTGGGGGGCGGGGGGAGATTTTTCTTTTTAAAAATAATGACGCTTAGGACGTTCGTTTCCAGTTGAAGTGCTCTTCAGCACCGTCTGTCCCCGCACACGCCGACCCACTGGCACACTTCTGTTTTCTCTCCCTGTTGCTGTGTCTCCTCACTTCGGTGTTTCCTTCCCTTGCGCCCCCCCCCCCCACCGCTGGTGACCCTCTGCTTCCCCCTCTTTCCCTTTGGCAGCTGCAATACACAGTGTTATTTTGGGGAAATAAATCTAGCAAAGCCTCGCCTTGCGTGCCGAGCGCCCTCCCGGCTCTGGGAGGGAAAAGGTCTGTCCTTGGGATGCTCTCGGATCTTCTTCCCTTCCTCCTTCTCTTCCCCATCGTCCCCTTCCCGGCCCACCTTCTTTTCTGTTCTCCTTTTATTAGGAGTTCCCGAGTGAATTTTTTTATTAACGTGGGAGTGGAACAGATGCTAAAAGCTGTCCAGGATTTTGTTTCTGTTTGTTTTTAAAGTTTGTGGTTCCTCGCCTCTCCTCCCCCCTCCCATGCGTAAGACGTTCTGTGTAACCTCCATTAAATTTGGTACAAAACCACTCGCCAGAGCTGTGGTGTCAGAAAAATAAAATATATTGTTTCTTACAAAACGGAACTGTCTTTTCTGATCATTTGGATTCCTGATAGTTTAGTACTGGGCATACCGGTTACCATGTGACCCAGAAGCGTGGACTCTTTGTATGGGAGTTGATCGATAACGTGATGGTTAGGGAAAGCCAGTGAAAGGACCTTCTCAAATAAAGCATATTCCATGCTGTTAAGGACTAACTCCTCATGTTATCCTGTGCCGTTCCTGTCTCAGTCATGAAATCCCAGTTACAGCAACTGTGATCCCATTGCTGAACTTTACCTCTAGGGCAATTAATGGGCTTTATTAGGAATGTTTGTGAGAACCAATTTAGTGGTGTGAAGTAATTAAAAGGCCAAAGGTTGTATGTTTAGTTATTTGAATAAGCTATGAGCTGTCCCTGGGTCTCGTTAAGGTCGAATATTCATTACTATACCTGCAAATTATGGGTTTCCACAGTCTGGGGGTTTCTATGGTCCTTTCCGCCTTCCCACCTCCTCACCCACCTCGGCTAACCCTGCTCAGTTGTTTTTTGTGCGCTGTTCCATTTCCTGCCACACGCATCTTCAGCACATCGGTGTGTATCCTGCAAGGTATGTATCTAATGGGAGTCGCTGTTGTGCTGCTGTGCAGTTGTTTCTGTTCTGGTGTGTGTATTTCTTTTGAGTTGTTGTAGGTGTTTTTAGCTCAGTGAGTGGGCGTCTGTGTGCGTGTTTGTTCTTAGGTGAGAGAATCTAAGCGCGGAGCAGCAGGTGCACACTCATCCGCAGACAGACCTGTGCAAACTGGGCTCCGCTGGTGTTTCGCAGTCTGAGCTTTTCTCTCTGACAATTGTTTCGGAGAGCCGGTCTCTCTCTCTTTCCAGCAGCACTGTCTTCTCAGTAACACAGGTGCCCCAGACAACAGAAAATGTGGAGATGAACATTTGAGTACCTACTCCACCAGTCACCTCCGCGCACTTATATCTCGCTGATTTTTAAGGAGCCCTGTGAAATAAGCGGTCGTGAGCTCATTTGCAGATGAGAAAACCGAGCTCCCGAGTTTAAATTCTGATTCAGCCGGGCGCGGTGGCTCAAGCCTGTAACCCCAGCACTTTGGGAGGCTGAGGCGGGTGGATCACGAGGTCAAGAGATCGAGACCATCCTGGTCAACATGGTGAAACCCCGTCTCTACTAAAAATACAAAAAAGTAGCTGGGCATGGTGGCGCGCGCCTGTAGTCCCAGCTACTCGGGAGGCTGAGGCAGGAGAATTGCCTGAACCCAGGAGGCGGAGGTTGCGGTGAGCCGAGATCGCGCCATTGCACTCCAGCCTGGGCAACAAGAGCGAAACTCCGTCTCAAAAAAAAAAAAAAAAAAAAAGAATTCTGATTCAATCTGATCTATTCTGTTGGTGCTGGGTGGTGCCATTCTCATGTGGTAAGCAGGATAGTAAAATAAGATGTTGTTTCACAAACTTAGCCATGTTTCTGGGTGCTGTGGCTTTAAAGTATTTCGATGAGACTAACAGCCAAGCATGGGCCGCACAAGATGAGAACCTGAAGAAAGGGTCCCGCCTGGCACCTGCCCACTGGTCTGGCTCCCGGGCAGCTCCCCTCCTTGCTGTACCCAATAGTGTTGGAGTCACTAATGGTGCGTGGTCCTGCTGTTACTCTCCCGCGCAAGGAGTCAAGGCATCAAAGGTACCCACAGAGCAGAGCAGGTACCCACCTAGAGGGCTGGCAAGACACCTGGCCGCGGCGGGGGGCAGCTGGTTGTGCGGCACGCCCCCGCCGCCCCCTGCTGGAGGACTTGCGGCGGTGCGGGTCCATTTCCCCACCTGAGTTTCTCAAATACCCCATCATAAATCTTCCTTCACTTTATCAGCATATGCCAGCACGTCATGACGATCATCGCTGACAAGCCAGATTTACTGAGGGGCTACATATGATCATTTTCATTTACTAAGATTGTTACAAAATGAAATCACATTTTGAGAAGTTGGACTGTATGGAGAACAGATGCAAGATTTTTTTTTTTTTTTTTTTTTTTAATTGTACTTTGGGCTCTAGGGTACATGTGCACATCCGACATCCGGCATCCTGCAGGGTTGTTGTGATGCGAGATTTTTTAAAGAATCAGTGAAAGTGATGAAGATGTTTCAGATAAACATAATCTTGTGAAAGCCCAGCCGATCTCCTCTCGTTCCTCTCCTGAATTTGGGGACTGAATGGAGGGAATGCAGTAATGACTTGTTCGCTTCACGGGTAACTGGTGGAGGGAGTGTGGGTCATAGCTTTTTTTTTTTTCTTTTTAGACGAAGATTCACTCTTGTTGCCCAGGCTGGAGTGCAATGGTGCGATCTCAGCTCACTCAGCTCACTGCACCCTCCACCTACCAGGTTCAAGCGATCCTCCTGTCTCAGCTTCCTGAGTAGCTGGGATTACAGGCACCTGCCACCATGCCTGGCTAATTTTTTGTATTTTTAGTAGAGATGGGATTTCACCATGTTGGCCAGGCTGGTCTCAATCTCCTGACTGCAAGTTATCCGCCTACCTCAGCCTCCCAAAGTGCTGGAATTACAGGTGTGAGCCACTGTGCCTAGACCATAGCATTTTTTTTTTTTTTTTTTTTTTTTTGAGACAGAGTCTCACTCTGTCACCAGGCGCCAGACTGGAGCACAGTGGCACAATCTCAGCCCACTGCAACCTCCACCTCCCAGGTTCAAGCAATTCTCCTGCCTCAGCCTCCTGAGTAGCTGGGACTACAGGTGCATGCCACCACACCCAGCTAATTTTTGTATTTTTGGTAGAGACGGCGTTTCACCATGTTGGCCAGGCTGGTCTCTATCTCTTGACCTCATGATCCGCCCGATTCGGCCTCCCAGAGTGCTGGCATTACAGGCTTGAGCCACCACCCCCGGCCGCATTTTTTTTTTTTTTAAGGACTAACTAGGAGTATGTAGGATTTTCCCTAAAACAATGTAAAATAAAATACTTTTATTTAAAAGATTCTGCACTTATAAATAAAAACACATAATCATAGGAGTCTTATGAAGGATGTGGTGGGAAAAAATAAATTTAAAACAAAATTTAACATATTCTAAAGCTACTCCTTAAAAAATGGATCCAACATTTCTCCCAGCCTGCCTGCACTCCATACTGCTCGATATTACCATCACAACGCAACTGTGGCCATCAGGGCCAGCTTCATGATGTGCCAGCTGTGCGGCTGGACGGGTTTAATGCTCCACTGTCACTGTTAGGAGTTCTTAATTATTGAATAGTGACTCCACATTTCCATGTCGCCCTCAGGCCCACAGATTGCTTAGCCAGGCTGTTGTCAACAGAAACCACAGCAGCTCCACAGAGGTGCTGGGACCCCAGTCTCCATATTTATTCTCACTTTCTCCCTAACTCGTGGCCAGGAGATCCCCAGGCACGGTGCTTGCTTTGTTCTGCTTAAACTGTCTGCACTTCAATCATTTCCTTTTCCTTTTCTGAGTAATTTCAAAGTGCTGAAAGGAGAGGGAAGCTGCCTTTTAACCCAAAGACTCATTTATTTAGCAGATATTTACAGAACACCTACTGTGGTGTCAAGAACTGTGCAAAGGCTGGGATGTGGAAATGGGTGTGTAAACCGGTTATTGCCATAAAATATGATGATTGCTGCAGTGAAGGTGTGGACAGAGTGCAATGGGTCAAAAAGGAAAATTCAATGAATCTTCAAAGGAAAGGTGATTTTTTGAACTGACTCTTAAAGGAGATAGCATTTCTGGAGGACAGTGGTGAGCACTGAAGCAGAGGAAATGGGATGGCCTCTTTAAGGGAGGCATAAGAGAAATAAAGTGAGAAATAAGCCGAGAGAGAGAGTGGGTCACAGAGAGCCCCGCGTGGCCCACTAAAGAGGTCGAACTTCCAAGTTTTAAGCAAGGGATCAGGTGATTTTATTGGCTGGGATGCGGAAGATAGGCTGGGGGCGGGGTGGGAGAACTACAGGAAGATCACTTGCAAAAATGTGCTTACTCTACAAAATCCTTAGATTCATCTCTTTTGCTTTCGATAACATCAAATGCTGTCTTATTTCCCATGCTGTTTAGACAACTCGAGTCTCACTGCCACTATCCTTTCTCTTACTGAGACCTGTAAGTGTTTTTGAAGTCACAAACCCTTACATTTAAGAAACGTCATGGCATCCTAATTGGCTGGTAAGATTTTAATAACACATTTAAAGCAGTAAGTTTATAAAGCACAAGACCAGTGTGTGGCCAAACATTTCCTATTGGAGGCGGCTAAATCATAAAAGTAATCTTAAAAGGAAGGTATGCTATGAGGATTGCAGTAACAGTTGTCTCTATTTAACATGGCTTTCTTTTTTTTTTTTTGAGACGGAGTTTTGCTCTTATTGCCCAGGCTGGAGTGCAATGGCGCGATCTCGGCTCACCGCAACCTCCGCCTCCTGGGTTCAGGCGATTCTCCTGCCTCAGCCTCCTGAGTAGCTGGGATTACAGGCACGTGTCACCATGCCCAGCTAATTTTTTTGTATTTTTAGTAGAGACGGGGGTTTCACCACGTTGAGCAGGATGGTCTCGATCTCTTGACCCCGTGATCCACCGGCCTCGGCCTCCCAAAGTGCTGGGATTATAGGCGTGAGTCACCGCACCCGGCCTAACATGGCTTCTTATCTGGGTTACTATTAAACCGAGGTGAATCTGTTTTCTGCCTGTAGGTGACGGCCCTTCAGCTGTTAACTTTCTGTCTCAGTGCTTCACTGTGCTTGGTAACCAGCACTGCCAGAGGGAGAGCTTGAGTGTATGTATGACCACAGGAAGGGAACATAAAGAGAAGAGTCAGACATTCTTTCCTGACACATGGTTAAAGCATGGGAAAATTCAGTGATTTCACCAAACGTGAAATAACTCAAGACGTCTCTTGCAAAATACCCCCTTAGGGTCCCCAATTATGCAGGTACCCTGGGGTTCCAAAGAACAGATGAAAGGAAGCCAGTGCTAGGAAGCTGCCTGTCTTCACTGGAGCTGGCTGTGTG